CAGTACGGGCACGACACTGAGGGTTGCGATCCGATGCCGGTCACGAAAAAAGAAAAAAAAAAAAAAAAAAAAAAAACACTGTTAAAGGAAGAGAAAGGAAAGAGATGCTTCATTAACAGGGTTACACGTAATTCTGGGTAAGGCCACATTTAAAAAATTAAATCAATAAGAAAAACAGAAAACCAAAAGGTGTCAAGTCAACTTCCGGGAAATGGCAATAATCTTTTAGAAACGTCCTATTTTGAAAGTCTGACATAGTAAGACATTGTACCTTGTTAGAACTACAAAAAATTCTGAGAACTGTTAAGTGGAAGTAGTCACTTCAGCCACTGATAACAGCCACAACAGAAACAGCTTTCTGGCAAGGCGGCACTGGGTGCTGCCAGGTGCTCAGAATGCTGGGCTCAACACAGTGAGAAGTGAGAAAGGAGACAAAAGTTCCTGACCTGACACAAATTCTCTTTCACCTCAGAAGAAGCTAAATCAGCAGGAACCATTAACTTCTATTTAACGTGATCAATGTTACAAATCAGTAATTCCACTCCCCCATTACTGAAACTGTCCCCCTTTAATTGGCTAAAATTTCATTGATGATTTTAGGATAACCGCAAGCAGAATAAAACTCTACATTAGTAAAGCAATGTCCTTAAAGATCCAGAGGGGAAAGATGCTTTCTCCTGTCATATGATACTAGAATGACATACTTATATATTTCTGGCATAATTTTATAATTATCCTTTTTTTTTCTTTCAGTGTTTTCTTTTTTCTTTTAATGCCTTAAATCTGTAGTATTTTTTAAGTGATGTGCTAGAAAACCTCTCAGAATTTTATATAAAAAAGAGGAAATGGATTGAGAAAGAATCTGAAGAATTGTGTTATATGAAAAGCACATACAAAACAGCTTTAGGATCTGGGCTTGGGATTATAATTTTAGCTGATCACAGGACTTCCCACTGATTAAAAGATCCAGGTATGATGTATAGAAATCTGCAGTAACTTCACTCCACATATAAGGGGGACATTAACTGTACTCTGAGGCAGAGTTATAGGGATTTCTCCTTTCATGGTCCAATTTCTAGCTGGGCTATCATGTGTAAGAAAAGTCCACAAAGAGAAAATAATATAAACAATTCATAAACTGAAGCCTCAGCTCAGTAAGACAAACAAAGTCCATTGAACTCATCATTATAGGATGGCTTTATCACAGTAGAAAAGTTAAGCTTTGAGAAAATTTTTGGAATGCTTTGAAATAACTCTTCACAAAATTAGTCACGATACACCTTGGGATAAATACTCTAGCCTTTCACAACTATATCAACTTTGTATGAAGCTGTATTTTCAACTATCATCTAAGACACCGTAGGCTCTTAATAAATATTTGTTAAATAAATGAAACTATAAAGTTTTGTTTATTTTTAAGTCATATTTTAAAAATGTGATCTCTGGGCCAGCCCGGTGGCGCACTGGATAGTGCGCCTCTTGGGAAGCGCGGCGGCGCTCCCGTCCGAGGGTTCGGATCCCACGTGCAGACCGGCTCCCGCTCACTGGCTGAGCGAGGCGCGGGAGCAACACCGAGGCTTGCAATCCCGTCGCCGG